AATTATATCAACGCCATCGGGTATTTAGTTTAGCTTATTATGTACATTGTTCGTACGACGACTCATTATCAGAGTATCATTCGCGTCGTAGCGTCGATTGTATAACATGGTTCGCCGAAGACCTTAAAAATTTAGCAATTCGCGTTAAGAATATTTTAAAAACAAATGTCCCCATGGTAAATTTAACGTTCGAAGAGTGGGAGAAATTCCATAGCGCCACTCGTTGTCATATATGCGAAAAGCCGTTTACGCAAGATGATACACGCGTTCGCGATCATTGCCATCTGACCGGGCGGTACAGAGATCCTGCACACTCAAATTGTAATCTAAATTATAAAAATTCTTTTTGCATTCCGATAGTGTTTCACAATTTATCCGGTTACGATTCTCATTTTATTATCGAGGAAATAGCCACAGCGTTCGAAGGGAAAATCGAGTTATTATCGATAACCAAGGAAAAATATATTTCGTTTACCAAAAGTGTTGATCTTAAAGAAGAAGAATCAAAAAATCAAATAAAATTACGTTTCATCGATTCATACAAATTTTTCGCATCGAGTCTCGATAAATTGGCATCATTTTTGGACAAAGATAAACTCAAAATTTTAAAATCGGAATTTCAAAATTTATCAACAGAAAATTTCAATTTGTTAACGCGAAAAGGCGTATTTCCGTACGAATACATCGATTCCGTCGACAGGTTGCATGATACGTGTTTACCACCGCGCGAATCGTTTTACAGTTCCTTGACTGGTGAAACTGTATCCGAGAACGATTACGCGCACGCCGAGAACGTCTGGACACGATTCTCCATTCAGACGCTAGGCGAATATAGCGACTTGTACCTCAAAATTGATGTCTTGTTATTAGCCGACATTTTCGAAAACTTTCGAGATAAATGTATCGAAAGTTACGGACTCGACTCCGCGTATTACTATACTCTCCCCGGATACACGTGGGACGCCATGTTGAAGCATACAAAGATCACGTTCGAGTTGCTTACAGACATCGACATGGTTATGTTTATCGAACGTGGTATACGCGGCGGCCTGAGCCAATGTTCGGGTAGATACGCTCGCGCTAATAACAAGTACATGGAGTCGTACGATCCATCGAAACCATTATCGTACTTGATGTACTTTGATGTAAATAATTTGTACGGATGGGCGATGTGTCAACCGTTGCCCTATGCTGATTTTCGATGGGTCGACGATGTGTCAAATTTTGACGTATCATCCATCGCGCTAGATTCGCCTACGGGCTATATCCTCGAAGTGGATCTCGAGTACCCGCAACATCTTCACGATGCGCACACTGATCTACCGTTTTGCCCGACACGCGACAAACCACCTGGCAAGCGAGAATTCAAGCTACTTGCAACGTTATACGATAAGAAGTTACGTGATACACTACCGCAACCTGCAGCAGTGTACGCGGCACGGCCTTCGTGTAACAAAAATACATCGAATTTTACAGTTTTCTCAATCTCCCTGGCTTCAAAATTATATAGAATTAAATACACATTTCAGAACGTTGGCTAAAAATGATTTCGAAAAAAATTTATACAAATTAATGAATAATGCGGTATTTGGTAAAACGATGGAAAATGTACGCAATCGTGTCGATGTAAAATTATTAACAAAGTGGGACGGACGATACGGCGCAGAGGCGATGATCGCGAAACCAAATTTCCACAGCAGAAGCGTTTTTTCGGAAAACTTAATCGCTGTGGAATTGCGTAAACTCGAGGTGAAATTTTACAAACCGATTTACGTGGGTATGTGCATCCTCGACATATCCAAGATATGTTTGTACGAATTTCATCACGAGTATATGGCGCCAATGTATCGCGACAAATGTCGAGTAATGTATACCGATACGGACAGTCTCATATATCACATCGAGTGTGCGAATGTGTATGAGAATATGAAGCGTGACATTGTTAGATTCGACACGAGCGATTATGCGGTGGACAATGCATACGGTATACCGCTTCTAAATAAAAAGGTACCGGGTCTGATGAAGGATGAAAACAACGGTGCCATAATGACCGAATTCGTCGGGCTCAGAGCAAAGATGTACGCGTTACGAGTGAATGGGAAAAAGGATACGAAGAAAGTCAAAGGTGTCAAGAGCAACGTTGTCGCGAGAACGATAACGTTTGACGATTACACGCGATGCTTGAACGAAGAGATTGAAATGACGCGTCAGCAGTCGTGTATACGATCTAAATTACACCAAGTATACACGATTCGCGAGACGAAAATTGCTCTGAGTCCGTACGACGACAAGCGATATATCGTACCCGATATCACCGATACGCTACCGTGAGTACATTATCAGATATCGTTGTAAATAAATCTATATTTGGTTTATTGTATATTTTGTACATAACCATGTATATATTTTGTACATTTTATATTATATATTTTTATATTTATATATTTATATTTATATTTATATTTTAATAAATTTTATATATTTTATACGCATATTTTATGTTTCAATAAATGTTTACAATACATTATTTTTATGAATCCAAGAGTTGTATGATTTATCCATTCCCAACCATTTCACATAAACCTCATCACCCTTTTCTCGCAAAATTTTTTCCACGAGATATACGTCGGGATTGGCGACGCGTTGTAACTCGTATTCGTAGAATCTTCCAGCGATGGGATTTCCCCGCGAATCTTCGAGTATGAATGTCGCGGGATTAGTTTTCTGCACCTCGATAATCTTAAAAACTTCGGTCGTCCAATTTAGTGTGAAAACTTTTTCAAAGATGGTCTTGTATTTGCTCACGCGTACCGAATCGCCTACTTTAAATTTTGCCGGAGCCGCAATTTTTATATTGCTGTACACCGTATTTAAAAGTTTTTCGGCGATCGCCGGAGTGACGTCGACATACCTCATACCGATGGTGCGATGTTTTCGCGTATTGTACTCTGCAACGAGTCGAGATAGCTCATCGATCCATTTTTAATTTCCGTTCAACGGTCATTCATTACCGTTCGATGACCGTTCAACGAGCGTCCGTTTCGACGATCGTTCGTTTTCCGTTCAATGACCGTTCAATGACCGTTCGACGAGCGTTCATTTCCGTTCGATGACCGTTCAATTACCGTTCAATGACCGTTCGACGAGCGTTCGTTTCCGTTCAATGACCGTTCGTTTCCGTTCAATGACCGTTCGACGAGCGTTCGTTTCCGTTCGATGACCGTTCGACGAGCGTTCATTTCCGTTCGATGACCGTTCAATTACCGTTCGATGACCGTTCGACGAGCGTTCGTTTCCGTTCATTGACCGTTCGACGAGCGTTTATTTCTGTTTGATGACCGTTCAATTACCGTTCGATGACCGTTCAATTACCGTTCAATAGCTGTTCGACGGACGTTCATTTCCGTTCGATAACCGTTCAATAGTCGATCGATGCTCCGAGCGATAATCCAAATTTATTAATCGACATTTCGGTACCGAGAACATTAACCGAATGACACGTAGCGTCGACGCATAGTTTAATTTATAATAACGTCGGCCTCGCGAAGTTCTTCAATAATTGACAAGATTTCATTGTCGCGAACGTCCGTCGAACAGCTATTGAACGGTAATTGAACGGCCATCGAACGGTAATTGAACGGTCATCGAACGGAAATGAACGCTCGTCGAACGGTCATCGAACGGAAACGAACGCTCGTCGAACGGTCATTGAACGGAAACGAACGCTCGTCGAACGGTCATTGAACGGTAATTGAACGGTCATCGAACGGAAATGAACGCTCGTCGAACGGTCATTGAACGGTCATTGAACGGAAAACGAACGACCGTCGAAACGGACGCTCATTGAACGGTCATCGAACGGTAATGAATGACCGTTGAACGGAAATTAAAAATGGATCGATGAGCTATCTCGACTCGTTGCAGAGTACAATACGCGAAAACATCGCACCATCGGTATGAGACATGTCGACGTCACTCCGGCGATCGCCGAAAAACTTTTAAATACGGTGTACAGCAATATAAAAATTGCGGCTCCGGCAAAATTTAAAGTAGGCGATTCGGTACGCGTGAGCAAATACAAGACCATCTTTGAAAAAGGTTTCACACCAAATTGGACGACCGAAGTTTTTAAGATTATCGAGGTGCAGAAAACTAATCCCGCGACATTCATACTCGAAGATTCGCGGGGAAATCCCATCGCTGGAGGATTCTACGAATACGAGTTACAACGCGTCGCCAATCCCGACGTATATCTCGTGGAAAAAATTTTGCGAGAAAAGGGTGATGAGGTTTATGTGAAATGGTTGGGAATGGATAAATCATACAACTCTTGGATTCATAAAAATAATGTATTGTAAACATTTATTGAAACATAAAATATGCGTATAAAATATATAAAATTTATTAAAATATAAATATAAATATAAATATAAAAATATATAATATAAAATGTACAAAATATATACATGGTTATGTACAAAATATACAATTGTAACGGGCCACCTTTCTCGACGCTCCGGAACGGCTCGTCGGATAGCCAGGATTCGAGCGAAGGGGGCAAATAATTCAACTCGTGCGATCATTTTCTTTAGAAACTGGATTTGTCTTTATTGTATGAATGTATTATTTACAGGGTGTGCATGCGAGAGTATAAATGTCGGTGTATGTGTCGCTATGTATGTGTGACAGCGTAAATGACGGCGTGTGTCTAACTAACTAGAAATGAAATAAAAATAATACCCGGTGTACAGATCGGAACGACTGGACTGGCGCGGATAACGGGCGCACGAATATTAACTAGCATCGGACGATCACGGAAACACGGACTTACTCTAAGGAGAATATACAGCGGAAGACGGATTTTCGGGACGGACAGGGAACCTAGGACTAGTTGTACCGTCGACGGGGCTGGTTTGTCAGTACGGCTTCTGATGGCCGGCGACACCCCGTGCAGTCGGGCGTTTGCCTCGACTGAGACTGCGTACAGGAAAAACCCGGAGTTACCCGGTGGATCGGACGACAAGTCGTCTCGGATTAGAGCCGGAAAAACCGGAGACACCCGGTAGATCGAGGAACACCTCGACCGGGACTGGTACAGGAGCCGGAGTTACTCGGCGGGAGTCGAGAGACACCTCGACCTGGAGCGGTTTCAGGAAGCCGGAGACACCCGGCGGATCGAGGAACACCTCGACCGGGACTGGTACAGGAGCCGGAGTTACTCGGCGGGAGTCGAGAGACACCTCGACCTGGAGCGGTTTCAGGAAGCCGGAGACACCCGGCGGATCGAGGAACACCTCGACCGGGACTGGGACAGGAGCCGGAGTTACTCGGCGGGAGTCGAGAGACACCTCGACCTGGAGCGGTTTCAGGAAGCCGGAGACACCCGGCGGATCGAGGAACACCTCGACCCGGAGCGGTTTCGGGATGACCGACACCGGGGGCACCCGGTCGAGCCGAGGAGCACCTCAGCGCGGGCGAGATCTGGTCAGGATCTGGCCCCGAGGCACTGGTCGTGCCGGCTTTTATACCCGGCCGGAGATCCCCTACCTGGCGAATTTCACAGGTGGGGCACGACTGCGAAATTTGGGGGAAGATTCGGACCGGGCGAGCGAGAGCGAGACAGCAAGCGCACAGTGGCAAGAGCAAGCGAGAAGGCGAGCGTGCGAGCGAGAAAGCGTGCGAGCATGCTAGGTTGCGAGCGAGATAGCGGGAAAGTAGCGGGTGCGATTAGATCAGCGCATACATAGAGAGAGATAATAAATATATTTATTCCAGAATCACACAGATTTAGGAACGAGGCGCAGGCGCTTCGTTACACAATAAACAAAATATAGATTTATTTACAACGATATCTGATAATGTACTCACGGTAGCGTATCGGTGATATCGGGTACGATATATCGCTTGTCGTCGTACGGACTCAGAGCAATTTTCGTCTCGCGAATCGTGTATATTTGGTGTAATTTAGATCGTATACACGACTGCTGACGCGTCATTTCAATCTCTTCGTTCAAGCATCGCGTGTAATCGTCAAACGTTATCGTTCTCGCGACAACGTTGCTCTTGACACCTTTGACTTTCTTCGTATCCTTTTTCCCATTCACTCGTAACGCGTACATCTTTGCTCTGAGCCCGACGAATTCGGTCATTATGGCACCGTTGTTTTCATCCTTCATCAGACCCGGTACCTTTTTATTTAGAAGCGGTATACCGTATGCATTGTCCACCGCATAATCGCTCGTGTCGAATCTAACAATGTCACGCTTCATATTCTCATACACATTCGCACACTCGATGTGATATATGAGACTGTCCGTATCGGTATACATTACTCGACATTTGTCGCGATACATTGGCGCCATATACTCGTGATGAAATTCGTATAAACATATCTTGGATATGTCGAGGATGCACATACCCACGTAAATCGGTTTGTAAAATTTCACCTCGAGTTTACGCAATTCCACAGCGATTAAGTTTTCCGAAAAAACGCTTCTGCTGTGGAAATTTGGTTTCGCGATCATCGCCTCTGCGCCGTATCGTCCGTCCCACTTTGTTAATAATTTTACATCGACACGATTGCGTATATTTTCCATCATTTTACCAAACACCGCATTATTCATTAATTTGTATAAATTTTTTTCGAAATCATTTTTAGCCAACGTTCTGAAATGTGTATTTAATTCTATATAATTTTGAAGCCAGGGAGATTGAGAAAACTGTAAAATTCGATGTATTTTTGTTACACGAAGGCCGTGCCGCGTACACTGCTGCAGGTTGCGGTAGTGTATCACGTAACTTCTTATCGTATAACGTTGCAAGTAGCTTGAATTCTCGCTTGCCAGGTGGTTTGTCGCGTGTCGGGCAAAACGGTAGATCAGTGTGCGCATCGTGAAGATGTTGCGGGTACTCGAGATCCACTTCGAGGATATAGCCCGTAGGCGAATCTAGCGCGATGGATGATACGTCAAAATTTGACACATCGTCGACCCATCGAAAATCAGCATAGGGCAACGGTTGACACATCGCCCATCCGTACAAATTATTTACATCAAAGTACATCAAGTACGATAATGGTTTCGATGGATCGTACGACTCCATGTACTTGTTATTAGCGCGAGCGTATCTACCCGAACATTGGCTCAGGCCGCCGCGTATACCACGTTCGATAAACATAACCATGTCGATGTCTGTAAGCAACTCGAACGTGATCTTTGTATGCTTCAACATGGCGTCCCACGTGTATCCGGGGAGAGTATAGTAATACGCGGAGTCGAGTCCGTAACTTTCGATACATTTATCTCGAAAGTTTTCGAAAATGTCGGCTAATAACAAGACATCAATTTTGAGGTACAAGTCGCTATATTCGCCTAGCGTCTGAATGGAGAATCGTGTCCAGACGTTCTCGGCGTGCGCGTAATCGTTCTCGGATACAGTTTCACCAGTCAAGGAACTGTAAAACAATTCGCGCGGTGGTAAACACGTATCATGCAACCTGTCGACGGAATCGATGTATTCGTACGGAAATACGCCTTTTCGCGTTAACAAATTGAAATTTTCTGTTGATAAATTTTGAAATTCCGATTTTAAAATTTTGAGTTTATCTTTGTCCAAAAATGATGCCAATTTATCGAGACTCGATGCGAAAAATTTGTATGAATCGATGAAACGTAATTTTATTTGATTTTTTGATTCTTCTTCTTTAAGATCAACACTTTTGGTAAACGAAATATATTTTTCCTTGGTTATCGATAATAACTCGATTTTCCCTTCGAACGCTGTGGCTATTTCCTCGATAATAAAATGAGAATCGTAACCGGATAAATTGTGAAACACTATCGGAATGCAAAAAGAATTTTTATAATTTAGATTACAATTTGAGTGTGCAGGATCTCTGTACCGCCCGGTCAGATGGCAATGATCGCGAACGCGTGTATCATCTTGCGTAAACGGCTTTTCGCATATATGACAACGAGTGGCGCTATGGAATTTCTCCCACTCTTCGAACGTTAAATTTACCATGGGGACATTTGTTTTTAAAATATTCTTAACGCGAATTGCTAAATTTTTAAGGTCTTCGGCGAACCATGTTATACAATCGACGCTACGACGCGAATGATACTCTGATAATGAGTCGTCGTACGAACAATGTACATAATAAGCTAAACTAAATACCCGATGGCGTTGATATAATTTTTCTTCTTTCGTCTTGGCCAAGACACATTCCAAGTCGGCATAGACCACAAATGGAAGCCATTCCTTCCGATTAGGGTTGCTGAACTCGAGCCACTTGTCCTTGTCGCTCGGCAACCGGACAGCGCAGTCGTTTAGCTTTCCGCAGTCGACCGTATGCGACTGCAACTTGGTGTCTGAATAAAAATAATGAAGGCATTTGTAAAAGAAAAAAAATTTAATTAAGATTTATGTAACAAAGTGTATAACCTATAATTATCCAAATAATATAAAATAAACTTACCGATCACAGATATATCTTTGACCATTGTGTTTGCTCAATTGCGAGCTCACGAGCCGGGATAAATTCTTGATCCATGCAAAATGTCCCACGCTGTTGTCATCTTCAATGTACAGCAGGTTCACATGCTTATCCCGTTTCTGCTGCGAAAGACGTATCAGGACAATGTTTTTGTCTTCGATGCCGTACACATTGATTGAAATATTATTTGCAAGTTCAAATTTCTTAATCTGATTCACAGTCACTGGAAACTCAATGTCCCGGAGATTCAGCACTGTCGCGTAATGCGGGTACGATGATTCCCGTTCCGCGTTCCTTTCAGCGGGATACAGAGCGGCGACCACTGCCCACGCGAAACACGCATTGTCCTTTGATTGCACGTTAATCACCGCTCTCTTTATCATAATCTCCCGCGGTAATTTGATGTGACATCCCGCGCGCAAAGGATTGTACTTGTTTACATTTGCAGTCAAGTTCAGTATTCGCGACAAAGCCCACCCGCTATCGCGTTCCTGAAACTCTTCGAGAGACGCTAGGGTGGACTCGATAACGCGCTGTTCGTACCACTCGCGTAAATCGGATGTGCGAAAGAGTTCATAGTTTCTCGTATTCACACTTTTATTCGCGTGTTTATCACCCGACACAAATTCGCCGTTGAATATAGTGTTCACTTTTACACAATTGTGTTTTTTTAGAGCGTCCTGCACATGTTCCAACACAATGTCTTTAGCGTCATCGAGAAATTGGCGCGGTTCGATGTGATTATAATTTATCACCGCACCAGTCGATACGCGACTCTCGAACGCCGTATCAATTTCGCGCCACACAAGTCCATTTTGACGCGCACTACATCCGGCACTCGCGTGTACGAAACGTCCACGTACCGAATTTTTCAAACTTTCGAGGCGCGCGACCCGAGCAATCAGTGATTGTCGATTTCCGATCGATAATCGCGGCCGTTTGATTCGACTTTGCTCTTCCAACGACTCGATGTACTCGTCGCATCGTTGCTCCCACACAATGTAGTTTTCCAGCGAATCAAGCAAAGCGGATTGTTCTCGCAAAATTTGCTCCTCCATATTGCTAACGTACACTTACAAAATTTAGCGTTTCCAATGATAGGTCTGATGCACTTTAGCTACTGGTGGGGTGCATCTCTCTATCATGATTTATATATCGTCTCATGCATTGTTTTATGATCGAACATTCTAGAACGATTTCATCTTACAAAAAATTCCCCGTAGTACCGTGTGCAATTTGACCTTGATAATTTCACGTTTTGTCACGTACATTTGAAAAATCTAACGTGATTGCATCAGGCGCAGCCGTACATCGGCGCTCGATTTTTGCAAATTCAGCTAAATCTTAGTTTCGATGCAGATCTTAACCTTGAAAATTTCCCGTTTTGTCACGTACATTTGAATAATTTTGACGTGATTGTATTAGGAGCAGCCGTACATCGGCGCTCGATTTTAGCAAATTCAGCTAAATCTTTGTTCCGAAGATGATGATGTCATCGCAGCCGTACATCGGCGCGACAAAATTTTGGAGGAAATTAAAATGTTGTGTCAGCAATAATCCCCTCTACATCATAATTTGGGATACTATTTGAATTGATATTGATTCTAATACGATTGCAGTATTGCATCAATCGCGCGTGTGAAAGATTCATCGCTGAAGAAATATGAATTTCTACGTTCCGATTCGAAACGGTGAAACTCCACCGTGTAAGAAGCAAAAATGCGACACGTAAGTTTAAATCGTTTAAAAAATTTGTTACTTATTGAGTTTTAATATTGTTGTATAATTATTTATATTTTATAGTATCCAGCCTCGTCGTGCGGCTCGCATACTTGGAAGAAGGTACGCTCTAACCCCGACGTCGTACAAGTATTTGGACATTGGAATAAGCGTTGGAGCTGTATCATACTTGGAGCTGATTCTCGGCGATAATCGAGGCAATCAAATAGTGTTGCCCTTTTCAACGTGGAATTTGTTGATGCGGAAGCAAGCAGACGTTGAACAATTTCTACAATCGACTGCTCTCCCATTAAGGATTGGAGATTTAACGATTGAAATGTATCAATCGAAAATTGTAAAACTTGCATTATGCGAAAATTCTTTGTACATGAAACCAGAAACATTATTACATTTATTTAATTTTGAAAATTGTATCGATCATATGCACAATTGGTTATGCGAGAATACGTATCTTGTAAATGAAAAATTTAAACAATTTGAAACTGTATTACAACGTAATAATATTACTACTGTATGCAATGCTGTAAAAACGATACGTGAGAGTGATGTCTTTGACAGCGAATCATTGATCGATTGCGAATTATTAACATGTGCTATAAATGATATTCTTTACGATGCGTGCAATAAATAATTATTTTTATTCCATCTATGAATTTTATTTCTTTCCTTCCATACGAATAAGAATAGTCGACAATTTTTCTCAACACGCTCCGCCAAAGATGTAGAGAAATGCTGAGGTAGATGAGACGCGATGCTCTAATTGGAATGAGACGCGAGATATTAAAAAGATATATAATGAAGAGGAGTCTGCGACATTAGAATATTATTTCGTTGTTCTTTGCGTTTCGTTAGTCTTGTGTGTAACGTTAGTGCAATGGCTGAAGAAAACGTAATCATCGGTAATGAAGATATGGATGAATATGATGTCTGGATGGATCCCGTTGTGGTGGAAAAAATTGTGATTGAGAGAGAGAGAAGAGCGAAATGGAAGAAATTATATGCGAAAGAAGATTCATCTGATAAGGAACCTGATTTCGATTTTCGAACTAGTGATGTTGAAGAATTACTTCAGTATGAGCGGGAACAACTTTCGAAGAGGAATCTGGAAACCTCAGTCTTTCAATTTATAAGAAATCGTGAGCTCGGCTTGAAAAAACCTCGCACAATTTCGTTGAACAGATTTCTCAAAACTCGAAAATATTGTGCGAACTCAGTTAAAAAATGTGATACAAGTTTTTGTTTTGAATGTATACATGCGGAAGATCCTAATCACACTAAAGTAAAATGTTATGGAAATAGACTACGTGAAGAACTTGAATCATGTAAAGATATAGACAAATTCGAAGATGTGCATGAGAATATGCTACGACATGACTTCGAAACGTTGAAGGTAAAAATATTTTTGCTAATGTGTAATAAATTTAAAACATTTACAATTATTATGTTTATTTAATTTCAGAGTTTACGAGAGTACATGAATAGTCGACGAGAGGGACAGGAGCGGAAGTCCCTCAGCCCGACACATCGCCCCTAGTCTTCCAGGAGCGGCCCCCTCACCTGGCTCCCCTGGCCCCTCCCCCCCTCCCCCGCACCCCCAAATTATTATTATTATTATATTATTATTTTATTATATTATTATTATTATATTATTATATTATTATATTATATTATATTATTATTAATTATAATTTCACAAAGCACATACGCACACACACACATACACACACACACACACAAAATGTATAAAAACACGTACACATTTTAATAAATTTTATATATTCTATATCCGTAAAAAAAAATCTAATTATTTGTATGCCTCTCCTTGCGTTCCCATCCCTGCGTTAATTATAAGCATCGCGATATCGTTCTCTCTCGTGCGTTAATCTTAAGTCTATCTTTCACGATTAGAATTAGTACTCTCTCTCGCACGCGCTAGTTGTAAGTCTATCTCTTTCTCTCATGCTTAGAATAAGTAATCTCTCGCGCTATGACACAGAAAAAATGTATAACAGATTTTAAAATAAATGTTGTTTCAATAAAAAAATGTGATTATTTACGCGTCTCTCCTTGAGTTCCATCCCTTGCGCTATCTCTCTCTCGCGCACTAGTTGTAAGTCTCGCGATATTATCGTTCTCTCTCGCACGCGTCGTCTTCGCGCTATCGTTCTCTCTCGCACGCGCTAATTGCAAGTCTCGCGATATTATCGTTCTCTCTCTTGTACATGTCGTCTTGGCGCTATCGTTCTCTCTCTTTCATATACTCGTTGTTCACTTACCTTTGCGTCGTCCTTCTCCCACCTATACGTCGTCCTTGTCCCACGTTAACGCCATCCTTGTCGCACTCGTAGTACTGTCCTCTTCACACTTTGCACTGTCCTTTTCCCACACGTAGCGCTGTCCTTCTCACACGCCGTTTTCTTTCCGCTGATCCCCCTTCACCGCGCGGATCCCCTCGCCCATCGCTCGCGCCGCGGATCCCCCTTCACCTCGCGGACCCCCTCGCCCATCGCTCGCGCCGCGGATCCCCCTTCACCTCGCGGTCCCCCTCGTCCATCGCTCGCGCCGCGGATCCCCCTTCACCTCGCGGTCCCCCTCGTCCATCTCTCGCGCCGCGGATCCCCCTTCACCTCGCGGACGTCACCCACCGCGCGCCGCGGTTCCTCCTTCCCCGCGCGTGACGTCACTCCCCCCGCACCGCGGTTCCCCTCGCGCCTCACCCCCTCTGAGAGGACCTGGGTTAGAACCCCCTTACTCCTACTACTTCCTTATTATCGTCGACGAAATAATGGTAAAAGTTTTGAACGTCCTGGTGGATATATTGTTGATAATCGTTATGTAGTTCCACATTGTCCTATTTTATCGATTATATTTAATTGTCATATTAATGTTGAAGTTGTTTCAAGTATAAAATCGGTTAAATATCTGTATAAATATATTTATAAAGGACATGATGCTATAACAATTGAACCAATAACAGAAAATATAATTGTAGATCATGATGAAATACGCAATTTTATAGAAGCTCGTTATGTTGGACCTGTGGAAGCCAGCTGGCGTATTTGAGAAAAGAAGCTACAAGATAAAAGTCATACTATTGTGCGTTTGTCTGTGCATCTTCCTAACGAACAAAATGTTATAGTTGAAAATGAAACCATTGAAGAAGCAATGACTTCTGCTTTAAATCAAGTTACAATGTTAATTGATTTCAAGCCTCATAACTCGAAAAGTACTCAATGAAGAAATACTTTATTATAGTGTTTTGAAAAGCTCTCGAGATAAGCTATAAGAATAAGTAATAAAAAATAAGTAATAAAAAGGAGGTTCCATTAAAAAAATTGAAGGTAGCCTTCATGTGACCTTCAAACAACTTTTCAAGATAAAACCAATGATACCATCTTATGTCCCCCTTCAAGCCATACAACTTTTGTCTGAACAATTTTTTTGTATATGTGTATATATATGTGTATATATATGTGTATATATATATATATATACATATATATATATACACATATACAGGGTGTTTCAGCTATCAATGTCTATTGTGCCAAAGAAAAATCATAAGTAGATCTCGCTGAACTGAACTAAATAGTCTTATACCCAGATAGCAAAATGATGCAAATTTTACGTAAAGTTTGCAGCAAATTCGAGCATGTCTTTGTAGCAAAATTACGACAAGGTGTGTCCGCAAAAAGCTTATCTTTTGCTGACAATGCTTGTCGCAATAGCATGATGCATATTTCACGTAAATAATACGGCAAATTTTGCGATGTACAGTACAACAGCAAATTTGTAGCAAGAACAGGGCAAACCTTGCCACGCACGACAGGATAACAAATTTATGGCAAGAATAAAACAAACCTTGCCTTGCATAGCATGACAGCAAATTTGTGGCAAGAATAGAGCAAACCTTGCCACGCATAGCAGGATAACAAATTTATGGCAAGAATAGAACAAACCTTGCCTTGCATAGCATGACAGCAAATTTGTGGCAAGAACAGAGCAAACCTTGCCACGCACGGCAGGATAACAAATTTATGGCAAGAATAGAACAAACCTTGCCTTGCATAACATGACAGCAAATTTGTGGCAAGAACAGAGCAAACCTTGCCACGCATGCCAGGATAGCAAATTTGTAGCAAAAATAGACAAAGCTTATCGTAATAATGCGGATCGTATAAATTAATGAGTTCCATTAAACAAGTTTTAATAAAATTAATTAAATTTTACATCAACAAATAAATAAAAATAATTAGATTAGAAATGTTCTTATTTTTTGTTTTCTAATTTAATTATTATTTTTATTTATTTGTTAATGTAAAATTAATTAATTTTATTAAAACCTGTTTAATGGGACTCATTAATAATTTATACGATTCGCATTATTACGATAAGCTTTTATCTATTTCTGCCACAAATTTGCTATCACGCCGTGTATGACGAGATTTACTATTTTATATATTGATAAGAATTATATTATTGATAAAAATAAATAAATAAATAAATATATATATATATATATATATATATATACTTTTTAAACACACTATGTGTGTATGTATGTATATAAACATATGCATATACACATATAATGCTATCATTTGAAGAATATTACATTTAAAAAAGGCATATTATAACAATTAAATAGAAATCAGAGATACTATAACGAGGTACATATATAGATCTATACATCCACATTAACATATTGCGTAACTTTTACATCATATCTATAATATTTCATTTTTTTCTATGTAAATAGTTATAAATCTCATGGAGAATTATTATAGATTCAGCTGCATATAAATTACATACATTATATTTAAAAAATACGACTTATATTTAACACATTATGCTGTTACAAACTTTCTCTTCAATGGGCTTAAATGTTATTGTGATTTATAAATTTTTAAAAAATGAAATCTTTTATCCCTGCAGATTTAAATTTTCTTTAATAATGCGTGCCATCTTCGAATATCATAACTCCATAATCCTTCAACAGACATACACAATGTCAATATTATATTTCAATTATCAATATAATTTATATCTTCAATGTTTCTTATATTAAGAAGAGATTCGTGAATGTATAGTCACCTTAGGACATCTTGCGTAAAAGCTCCATCATAATAAATGCCATCAAGTGTTACAATTAAATCATTGCCATGTTTCAAATCGTTATTCCATAATCCAAAATATTATTTTTCGCCTGTAACATCATTGAATAATAATTTCGATATTGTAATTTTAATTTATCCCAAAAATCATATCAGATTATTATTATATTATACATATATTATATTTATTTCCAGGACCATGTTATATTTTGTTTTTTTGTACCTGTCATGATATCATCCGTTATTCCACAGCCTTGTTTAACACCAGCAGCATTCTGCAATATAGATGCAACTAATGCCATAAATAAATGATCTTCTTTTTTGACACCATGCATGATCATGAGATAATCCATCTTTAAAGTATCTTTTATAAAAATCCCCATTAATGTATCTAAAATATTGCATATAATTAATGTTTTACGAGAATATAATAAAATAAATTTTTTTACATTATGTTATATGACATATAAAAGATTTATATATATATATATATACAAGTATACGTATATTCGCGCTACGTGCGTTATTTATTTCTGCAGCACACATATATATAAAATGTATTTTTTAGTCATGACTTTAAAAAGTGCCGATTTAAAGAAAAGTGATTTTCCTGTTAGTGGCTCTGAAAAGTGCCGATATAAAGCGAATCAAGCGGTATTCCATCGTAAAATAATTAAAATGGCACTTTTCAGTGCTTATTTAAAAGCCAATGAAAAGTGCTAATTGACATTGAAAAATGCCGTTTTTTTATGTCTTCATATCAGGTCACTCCGCTTCTGCTTTTTCTTCTTTTTTCAATCTGCAATATTAGGAAAAACGTATATTGCAAGGTGTTGCTGAACAGGATAAGTATTTCTGCACATACGCATCCGCAGAAAAATCCAGCCCGTCCAGCAACACTGTGCAATATACGTTTTTCCTGCAATGCCTGTAACAAAGTTGAAAAAATAAATCGATTATTAATATTGCAAAATGTAAATGATAAATTAGAAAATAAACACTGCTTAACAATGATATGTTCAAATTTTCTAACAAATTTATATATGTAAAATATATATATATATATATATATATATATATATATATAATCATTGTCAATCGGTGAACAATATACGGGACTAAATGTTATATAAAATATGTATGTTATAAAAGATATATGTATATTCCTACAAAACTGACCTAATTTTCTTCTGTTCCTTCTGATTGTGCTATCTCATCCTCGTCCTCGTGTTCGTTGTGTTCGTCGTTTTCGTCGTTCCACAGATCATGTGCTCTTTTATTTTGATGGCCTCTTTGTGCACGATCTAAGTTGTTACGGACTTTATTTCTGTTTCTTTGTTTGGCTGTTCGCACAGCCATATCTCTCATATACATTTGGAATGTAGCCCGCATCGGCTTTTCAAAATTTTTATTTTCGCATACAGCATCTGCAAAACATTGTATTAAAATATCATTGATAACTTAAATTTAGTATCAGTATAATAATATCATACCATAAATAGCTTTAACCAAGCGGGTATTAAATAATGGCCGTTGATTTTCACGACTAAACCAAGTGTATGAAGTCATTAAGCGATCTTGAAAAATCTCTTTTACGCATAAATGTATGCTCTCTTTGGCATTGAAGCCACTAATAAAAATCAAATAATTCACCTATTTAAAAAATATTGTTATTTATATTTCTATTTATATATGTGTCTACGTTTAGTTTACTAAAGTTTATTATACATAAGTATATATGATAAACTTATTTGTTTCACATACCAATGTCATATATTCTTCATTAGCAGTTTCAAATTTTTCAACATCCGCTATTGATGATATTGGTAAAAATGCTGGCTTTTCAGGTGTATGCTTTCGGCTTCTATTGCTCGTCTGCTGTAATATCTTGTCCAATTTCTCATGTATCTTTCTGTAAAGATAATATAGATAAATAATTAGATTACATAATAAATATAAATAATATACACATAGGTCAGTATTTAGAATGCACTTACAAAGATATTAGCGTATTGTTATTCAATAAAAGAATCTGTATTATGTAATACAGATTCTTCTATTGGATAACAACATGTTAACACTTTTGTGCGCGTTCTGAATACTGACTATAATATATCTAAATAGTATATGTATCATGTTTAGATATAAAATAAATGATATTTAGTGTTTATATGTACATATATGTATAATGTGCTTCAAAACTTACTTAATTTCCGAAGCCAATTGATCCATTCTTCCATGTATTGCTCTGTGAATATTTATTTGCATACAAGTATAAGTTATATATATTTAGTTCAATGTATGTATATTTAGATATTTATAAAAAATTTTCTGCTTAATTCTATTATCGTACTCAATTTCCGGCTTAACATTGTAAAAATCTCCTGTAGTTTGTGATGATGATGGTACAGAACTTAGACGATGACTGTCATTTGGCCAGATGTTGAAAGGCTGAAACTTAGGCTCATATAGTGTATTCAATCCACTACGAATATGTTGTGTATGAGTAGATGCATGTGGATCGTGTGTGAATGTTTGTGTTGTATTATAATTTTGTAGTGCATAGTTTAATTGTTGTAAACTATTGTTAGAATGTGTTTGTGTCGTGTGATTGACATTTAACAGTTGTGTGTAAGTTATTGGTGCATGTGATGTGACACTGGGACTGAATGTTTGTGTTGTTTGAGTAAAAGGTTGTGTGCAAAATAAATGTGTTGTGTCATTGACATGTGGTGTATTACTGATATGTTCCTTATAATTGTTAATTGACGATTGTGTATAAGTAAGTGATTGATCGGGATGAACATGCATAACTCTATTAGGAGAATCATTTTCTAATACTCCCCGTAACTCAGCGACATCGTCATCTAATTGGCTGCTCTGTTGTTGCTCCATCGGTGTTTTTCTTCCTGAACTTCTTTCTACTTCCCTTTCCTCTGAAGATGTCGTTTGATATCGTCGCGGTTTATGGATGTTCTGACGTTTGGGGCGATCCGTCATTTTTCCTATAAATATATATTATACATATCATATAAACAAACATACACACACACACTCCCATATATATATATATATATATATATATATATATATATATACATATTTATAGCATTAATTACAACACCTCAAGGAAAGAAAATTGTTAATAAGTTATTTGTCCTACATTGGCGTTGCAATAATATTAAGTGGACATTATTGCAACGCCAATGTAGGACAAATGCAGAACAGAGATGACACGTAATGTATTATTCAAATTTCTATATATACTAGATAGCCATTTAAATAGATATTTATTCATATGATAAAGATGTGAAAAAAAGGCAATCATTTATAAATGGATAAAAAAATATAATCATATTATTCTTATGGCAGCCGCGATTACGGAATGGTACATGACTTATTACATATTGGTAATTCTTTCTTCTTGAGGTGCTCTATTAATTATAAACAGAAATATATATATATATATATATATATATATATATATATACTGAAATATCAGTATCAAAAAAGAAAAGTTAATTGAAGCAGTGTTCGAAAAAAACATTATATACAAAGAGATAGAATATTCGACAAAATCACTATATATAATTCTTAAAAAAATTATTTTGGATCGTATGGACTATTTTGTGAAAAAATAATTATAGAAAATAGTAAATTAAATAAGAGAAAAAGTAAATTATAATATTTCGTATACTTACATATATATTGTTATATATTTTAAGAATAATTTCTACTTTAATAAGGACAGAAATGTGA